TGGGGAGGGACTCTTCATTAGGGACTGTAGCAACAGGACAGGGGGTAGTGGGTTCAAACTTAAACAGGGGAAGTTCAGATTAGATATAAGGAAGAAGTTCTTTACTTCTGAGAGTGGTGAGGCTCTGGAATGGATTGCCCAAGGAAGTTGTGAATGCTCCATCCCTGGCAGTGTTCAAGGCCAGGTTGGACGGAGCAGTAGGTGATATGGTCGAAGGTGAGGCGCCCCTGCCCATGGGGGAGGGGTTGGAACTAGATGATCTTAGGGTCCTTTCCAACCCTAACCATTCTATGATTCTATAAATGTCAAGTTACAAGGCTGGAACCAACTGTGAAAGACACTAACAGCCTGGAAAGCACTAGCCTTGGAAAGGAGTTGGATGACAGTAGGGAAACAGTGCAGAACTATTTACACTCCTTAGAGGTTTACAGAGCGATTTTGTGACTGAGATGATTTTAATCCATGTGTTTGTTACTGGCGAGTTTAATACTCTTTATGATGCTGATCCTGCTTCTTAAGAGCCTCAGAGATGGGACCAAAAAACCAATGGAAATGCTGAATTAAATATCTTAGAAGTACTCACAACAGGTATCAGGAAGAAAACAGACAGATGAGGTAACTTAAAGTGGGCAGTTACTTCACAGAGGGGAAAAAAGTATTGTAGAACTGGTAGCATAACAAGAATTAGAAACTTGTACAAAATTGGAAACTCAGTTCAGATATTTTCAAAGTGAAATTAAAATGGATTTTTCAATAGTTGAACTACTGGGATGAATCAACCTTGAAAAGCAACTTTATCTTCTGTTCTTTTGTTTAATTCTCATTGTTATGCTGGCTTCCTGTAATGTCTGTTTTAACTAAACCAAATATATTTGGGTTTTGCTACTGAGACAAGGTAAAGTAAGATGGCTTAGTTTTTGGAAAGCTTTGTCTTTTGTCCAGTCATGCTTAACAATAGATTTTGCTATATGTTTCCTGTTTAAAGAGTGGAAACATTATGTACCTCACTGTACATCCTCCATATTTTCATTACAGTCATTCCAAAAAAAGTCTGCTGAACTTCAGAGATAATTAACAGAACTCAGATTACAGACCAGAAGTCACCTTCCCACACTTCTTACTTGCAACTCTCTTCCTTTAGTAATGGTCTTGTTCTGCCAATAATTGAAGAGGTCTCTGCAGCACATGTGAATGTTAAAGGAAAGAAACTAAGTTTAAAAAAAATTCATCTAAAACTGAGAAGTGGGGGAGGGTACGTAGGTCTTTTCTGCTTGCTGGGAGCTGTCTGCTCTTGAGTTAAATTATGTGAGCTATAAGCTACATTTTTGGGCTCTTTTTCTGTAGTATGAGAAGATAGATGTGTTATTCCAAACTGCATTAAAGTAAACTGAGCAAGACATTCTTAACTGTGGAATTAAAAAGAAGAGCTACTATTTTACATTTATTTTACATTTTACATTTGGTGAGCCCTTGGACCATTTAAATACTAATAAACAAGTACTCCCAAATGGGAATACCCAGAAATCATTTTTCGTAGATGATG